AAAAAAAAAAAAAACAAAGATAGGTGCAAACCTTTGTTGTAGCACTCTTGAATAAACCCTCTTCCAAACGTTTCACGATATCACCCAGTTTTCTATTGGTAACGTCCTGAGGTTGTCTACAGCGCTGCACAAGAAATTCCCAGCTGCAGAAGAGAAATCTGAACACCTTAGCAGAATATAAAGATATTTAAAAATGATGGCATTCATGATTTTTAGCACTTAATATGCGATGTATATAAAAAACATAAAATAGTAAAATAACGTTCAACCAGAATGGAATAGGATGGACACATATTGTATTTGCAACCCTCTACACAACAATTCCCATTATCTCACTTAAAAGCCATGATAATTACGTGAGTGACGTGAAAAAACTTTAGTACCAAAAACAAAAGAAAAGAAAAAGAATACAATAAACAAGCAAAAAATAATCGCTGCGGAACAATGAACCTTCATTTAAACAAGCGGCTATTTCTCCCAAGGCGATAGTAAACAAATTTCCCCACAATGAAGAAGCTAATGCAGCCTTCCCCATGCTCTTATGAAGCAATAGTTGGCATTTGCAAACACTCAAATGTGGAGAAAAATACCACTTTGAACTAAGAATTAAAATCTAGTTTTTGCAAGCACTCCCGTAATCTACTGCAAAAATGAATGCATCTGATGTGCCTACAAAAATTTGACATACATGGAAATATTATAGTTTATGCTGTCTACAACCGCCATATCTGAAAGGGTGTGTCTTCAAGGAAATTGGAAATAATAAACGGGGAGAATTCTTACATCTTCCCTTGCATATGTCTGCGTATTTGAAGAATTTCTGGATCCATGATTGGGACATTATGGCGAACACCGGGAGTTTGCATATTAGGCACAGGATTTCCATTTTGCTGAGGCAGCCTAGGCAACATTGAACCAGGTTGGTGGGGCACTTGTCCGGATATTTGTCCTGTCTGGTGCGTCTGCATATTCATCTTTATCTAAGGGGTAAATATGTGCCACATCCAACAGGTAGACACAAATATCATAATAAGTTAGCTGGACTAATGCAACTAGTCAACTCTCGTCCACAACAAGCAGAAAGCCCAAACTAGACAAGGAGACCTGTAAAGCAAATACGAAAATACTTATCAACAGAGGAAAGAAAAAACTATATTACAAGAGTATCAACAGAAAATAACAAACAATTAAAATTGTGCACTTCATTCAGCATACGGTGTATGTTCATCTTAACGCCAGTGAAGGATCATCAATCCCAGCAAATATTCAACAAAAGAATAAACAAGTAAAAATGGGAGCTATGGAATGCTAAAATCCACTCACTCAACTAAGCACACATCAAAATGAGCTAACCAAGTTAATAGCATTGAAATCCCAAAATTTTTGTCACATGCATAAGCACAGGCATACAGCACCATCACAGGCATGCATACATGTTGTACAATCTAAAATCAACTGCCCACATATGAAGAATCGAACAAACTGAGATGGAAATAAAATTTTACAAAAATATATACTCACATACATATGTGTTGCAGGCTAGGGTTTGATCAATTTAGGCAATAAACTCTCACCGGACGTCAATTAGGGCAAAATCCGATTGGTATCGACGGGAAATTCAAATAAATATAAAGAAAAATATGTAAAGTCGCCGAATATCAAACGCCTGCAGCAGAAAGCGCGATGAGCAGAAATTGAGCCAAATAGATATAAGGAAGCATGTAATCAGTTGAATAGAGAATGGGTCGGCTGTGGATGGCGGGAAACTTACCGGCGGCGAGCAAAGTTCACGTCGGAAAAGGGTGATTTTGAGAAGAAAGGGGCTGATTTACAAATTTGGGTTTTTTTTCCTTTTTTTTTTTTGTTTTTAATTTGTCTTAAGTATAATATAGATTGAGCGGTATTTAACTTTTTTTTCCCCAATTTTCTTTTTCATTTGAGTGGATTGCAATAATTAAATTGATGTATAATTATGAGCAGCAAAAAATAAAATGAATTAGTGATATAGGAAAATATATTCCCTGTCCACGGTGGGCAGTGCCCACTAGTTTGTTTTATATGAAAAACGTATTTTGATAATATCAAAATACGTTTTTCATATAAAACAAACTAGTGGGCACTGCCCAAATTTAATTGAAAAACGTATTCTCAGAATACGTTTTTCATATAAAACAAATTAGTGGGCACTGCCCACCGTGGGCAGGTGAGCTGGACTGGTGATATAGGATAACCACATTAGGTCGATTAGACCGAAGAAGCAGTCCAGCCGAACCGGGCCAGCCAAAGTCAAACAAAGAATGAAGACTCCACAGATCGAAAGATCCTCAAGTCGAAGAGGGCGTCAGTGATGCGAAGGATACCAGCAAGTCAAATGAGGACCCACAGAGAGTCTGATGGAGTTCGACTTGAAAGAGAAGCAGCAAAGCTCGACATCGAAGGTACTTCAGCTCAAAATAATCAGGATCAGTCTTATGATTAGACCGTTTAATGAGGAAGATTAAAGGATAAGAAGAAATATTGTTGGATTAAACTCTCACGTGGATGTGTCCACGTGGCCTAACAATTGGGTAGTCCAGGTAATACGAACGGGCAGTTCGGGTAGCCCACACGAATAGACTTGGACAACAAGGTATCAACTCCCTATATAAGAGAGTCATGTATGTCAAGAATTACATGACACTAATTACCTACTCTATATATTACACTTCATCTTCTAAAGTGATAACTTAAGCTTCAAAGTCTCTTCACTGAAAAACCCCTCCGGTGTGAGAGCTTGCAGGTCCAAAGTCGTTCAACTGACGGTGGAACTCGAAATTCAGTTTTTTCTAGCTGGTTGGAGGTCTTTTACGTACCAATTACCTATTATTAACCTAATGGTTATACTTCAAAAAATAGTTATTGATATGTGGATTTGTATCAACGGTTAATCGTGAATTATGTGTGGATTAGGAAGATAGAATTATGGGGTAATGGGGGGGCTTTGGTGAAAGTACGAATTCCGGTTTAGGATTGGTCGGCCTCTGAAAGTTTTGAGGTCGGCCTTTGGACTTTAAATGCTTCAATTAATTACAATTGATCATTGTTCTTTACAATAAAGGTAAAAAGATAATTTCTAGACTTTGAAGGATTTTTTCTAACCCCTATAACAAATGAAACCTAGGATTATTTGTAGCTAAACATCCTCTTATATTGTTCATCTATGTTCACCGGGTCACCTCGTACAGTAAACCGGAATGACATGCATTAAAAGCGGTATAACTAGTCCTAAATAATGGTTAGCAGAAATTTAATGTTGATTGACATGCCTTTAATGCGGACATGCCACCGTATGGGTCTACGAGTCGTAGGTTTGCAGAGTTGGTGGATACGTCCAATCGGTCATCAATGGCTTGCAATTTGCAAGTGATACTATTTTATTATTTTCTAACTCTGAAGGCGCTTCGAGGTCCGACCTCCAGGATCCCTGTGGTCGGACTCCGGTCTCGCCTTGAGGTTACATCTCTTCCTTCTAGCCTGGAGCTCGGACTTTCTCCTCGCCTTGCTTGTTTTTCTACTGTCTACCCATTTCCAAGCTGAGACCCAGCTAGGGGACAGACCTAGACGTCGGGTCTGGAAGGACCACCTCGGGAGCTCTATGTTGTAGCACAAATTGTTATTTTTACCGAGTAACGAATGGAAAGATTCGTTCTCCGGGTCGATCTCACGAGGAAGGCGGTTCGAAATTTAGCTTTGATATTGATAGCACATAAAAGCAAAATAAATCCTAAACATTCTAATCAAATAGGGAAGAAATTAATTACCAACTAAGAAATAGCATAAAAATAATAATCTACCTAAAGATAAAAACGAAACAAAGATGGAGAAGTGATGTCGCACCAGCTTGAACAGAGAGCAGGAAATAAGAACACTTTTACGCAAATATTTTGTTTATTCATTCACTGCTCATTCCCAACAGATTACAAGCATAAATAGCAGTAAAGAGTCGTACCCAAAACTAAATATTGACCAAGTCTCTTAATAGATAAATACTAACTTAACTAAATAAATACTAACTTAGAAAAATAAGGAAATAGCTAACATCAATAAATATAAAAACTGCGAAATAATTTATTTTGGCGTCGGAATACGATCATGCTTCTCCAAGAATGCTATCGCGAGCTCGTCTTCACCATCCTCCCCCACTTGAGAAGGATTCGCCCTCGAATCCACCGCGAGCTCGTCTTTCTCCGAATTGTCACCAAGGAAAGGCACCAAGTGCTTCACATTAAATACATCCGACGTGCGAATATGAGACGGGAGGCGCAAGCGATATGCATTGGGATTGATCTTCTCGAGGACCTCCAATGGCCCAATCTTACGGGCGGAAAGCTTGTTGTATTCATGAGCGGAGAAACGGTCTTTCGTGAGCACGGCCCATACAAAATACCCAACGTCATACTCTACGTGCCGCCGCTTAGCATCCGCATGGCACTTGTAAGCTGCGGTCACTTTCTCCAGGTGGGTCCGGGCTGTTTCATGCACATGGCGCAACTCGGCCATCAGATCCTCGGCTCGGCGATCCGTCGGCAGTGATGAAGGCAAAGCCAACAAGTCCGCAGCCACTCGTGGACGAACAACATACACGACTTCGAACGGAGAGAGGCCCGTGGCTCGGCTGATCGCCGAATTATGAGCAAATTCGACTTGACTAAGCCGTTGATCCCAACTTTTCAAATTTTCACCGACCAAGCAACGTAATAAATTCCCCAATGACCTATTAACAACCTCCGTTTGACCATCCATTTGAGGGTGATATGCACTACTAAAGTCCAGACGAGTGTTAGTGAGACGCCATAAACTCCGCCAGAAAAAACTAAGGAATCTCGTATCACGATCTGAAACAATAGAAGATGGCAGGACATGTAAACGATATACTTCACGAAAGAATAACTGTGCGACGTTGACAGCGTCATTGGTTTGCTTACAAGGGATAAAATGAACCATCTTTGAGAAACGGTCGACGACGACAAAAATCGAGTCGTGACCCCGCTGTGTGCGAGGCAATCCGAGAACAAAATCCATACTAATTGCCACCCAAGGTTGTGAAGGAATAAGTAAGGGTCAATATAACCCCGCATTCGAAGCCACGCCTTTCGAAACATGGCACACTCGACAACGTTCCACATAACGAGTAACGTCACGCCTCAACGTTGGCCAAAAGAAAGAGCGTTTAACCAGCTCAATGGAACGATCACGACCATGTCCCGAGCCATGAATATCTGCAATGAGCTTGAGACGCAGACTGCAATCAGGGATGCACAAACATAAACCGCGAAACAAAAAGCCATCAGCCAAAACAAAATCATCAACGGGTCCCGACGCGAGACGGGCTACAATCGGCCCGAAGAAAAGGCCAGACGAGTAAAGGTCACGCAAAATATCAAAACCAATGACTGAAACTCGCATGTCAGTCAGCAAGGCGACCCGACGACTAAGAGCATCCGCCACACGATTGGAATTCCCTGAGCGGTGTCGCAAAACAAAGGTAAATTGCTGCAAGTATGAGGACCACGTCGCATGACGTGCAGAAATACTATCCTGGGACGATAGGTGACGTAAGAAGTCATGGTCGGAATATAGAACGAACTCCCTCTGAAACAAGTAATGACGCCAGTAACGCACAGCACGAAACACTGCATAAAACTCCACATCATATGTGCTGTAGCGAAGACGGGGTCCCGACAACTTTTCACTAAAGTACGCCACAGGTCGACCATTCTGACTGAGAACGGCCCCAATCCCGACTTTGGAAGCATCGCAAGAAAGCTCAAACGGACGAGAAAAATCAGGAAGAACTAGAATCAGTGTAGAAGTCAATTTGCTCTTGATAAGAGCGAACGCCTCGTCGGCTTCCGGTGTCCATGTGAATGAAGTTCCAGTCAAACAGTCCGTGATTGGTGCCGTAATGGTACTAAAATGAGAAATAAAT